CGCCAGCATCTAAGCAGTCTCTGAGCCGATGGATAGTCGAGGCTATTTCACTAGCATATGAAGCCCTGCATCGGCCTCTACCTGAGGCGATCAGGGCTCACTCAACCAGGAGTATGGCGGCTTCGAAAGCCTTTCGTTCTGGCCAGTCCCTGACTGGCATCTGCAATGCAGCTGGGTGGTCTACCCCACATACCTTTGTAAGGTTTTATCAGTTGGACCTGGACCCTACTCCGGGTTCCAGTGTCCTAGCAATATAGGAGAACTCATCCCCGGCATGTAAAACTTTGGCGTGTTTGGGATAGTGTTCCCATTGTGTCTCCTAAAGAGACGCAGCGTAGAGTTCCCGAAAGGGAACGCGTCAGGTTACGAATGTAACCATGGTTCCCTAAGGGAACGAGACGCTGCGTCGCGTTGCCATACTTTTTCATACCTGGTGCGCTCCGTTCGAGAGGTATAAGCTGAAGTTCACTGTGAGTGTGGGGCTTTTATACCTTCGGTCTAACGCCACACGCACGTTGCGTCCCGCCAATTACATTGGATTGATTACACCTGTGCTTCAGAAGGTTATAAGAGAGGGATGGTATCCCATTGTGTCTCCTAAAGAGACGCAGCGTCTTGTTCCCTTAGGGAACCATGGTTACATTCGTAATCTGACGCGTTTTAGAACTTCAGTTTCCTATTGGAGAAATAACCAGGAATAATAATTGAAATTTGTTTATAAACTAGGATCACATGCTTATGATTTATCACGGCCGGTCTCGTATTAGCTAATCATTATCTTCCAATCATATGAGCCCTAAGCTACTATAAAGAAGTTTTCAGTCCACCTTAGCTTCGTTTGGAAGAAACCACCCTTCCTCCCCAATTCTCCTCCTTGACCTTGATCGGGCGGCACGGTGGCCCAGTGATTAGCACTGAGAGCCTCACAGCAAGAACACCACCGGCCTAGTTTCGCCTAGCCGGTGGGCGTTTCTGTGAGGAGTTTGTATGTTCTCCCCGTGTCCGCGTGGGTTTTCCCCGGTCTCTCCAGTTTCCTCCCACTGTCTAAAGATATGCATCATGCTTAAGAATCAAGCACGCTTTAGCCCCCTTCACAGGTGTTCCCTTAGCTATCGCAGTCGGGGAGTTCTGAGATCCACCGAGCTCAGGCTCCCCTCTAGCTCTGCGAACAGGGGGAAGCCCCGGGCTCGAGGATCCCTTGAGCTCGGGGCTATCTCCCGGGACAGCATGCCAAACAAGCTTTGATAGATTATCAGCTAAGTGTGAATTCTTGAACCGGCTATTTGCTCTACAAACAAGTGTGTTCATGACTATACATACAAAGAAAAATAATAAAATTAGAAAATATGACTTTGCAACATTAAGCAGCATTAAGTATGGGCCAGTATAAGATTCTGACGTTATGATGACCTTGAATAAAAATATCACGGTTTAACTGTATTGTGATTACTGCTCTAAAACATATATATATATATATATATATATATATATAGCAGATGTTATGCATTAAGCATTTGTGTACGCCCATTACTAACTGGGCATTGTTAAGAGGTGTATAAAAGTCCATCTGAGATAAGTGGAAGTTGCGCCATCGTCCAGCTGACTCGATGTGGTGTGTGTGTCGCTGCCATGCGTCTGGTATGTAGCGGCTGTTTAAGCCCTTTTCGCTTTCGTTTTAAAGTGTGTTTTGGTTTTAATTTAGTTTTTTGCTCTGGAAGGCTGGTGTCTGTTCGGCTGCTGTTGCACTGTAGAGTGGCTGCTGTGGGGCATCGTGAGCTTTATGAAATGGAGTTTCATGTTGCTAAACTTTCCCTCGTGATGTTTGTTGACATTTCTGCGAGCTCCCGTGACTGCTGTCTTCCCGGTCGGTAAGTAGAGCGATACTGCTCATACATTTTGTACAACTAGAAATAGAAACTGATTTTTATATCTTTTAGCTAGTTTTTAGTATGGATGCCTTGCTCTGCCGGAGGGATGACTGGCATCTCGTGTAGCGGTATGTGAAACACCTGTAATCAACTGTATTTGGAAGGTATGTCGGTTGATTGTGCTCTGTTTTATCATACGTTGCACTGCGGCTTGAGCGTCTCCTGCACTTGACATGCTGGATGCTGCTGTTTTGTTTCTAGTTTTGTTTTGTCTTCAGTTGTTATGTTTCTAGTTCTGTTGTTTCTAGTTTTGTATTGTTATATTTGTGTTTTTGAGTTGTTGTTGTTGTGTTTTTTTTTTTTTTTTTTTGCTGCTTTTGTATCAGTGTTTTGCTTTTTGCATATTTGTTCTCTTTGATCTTTGTTTCTTTTGCATATTTACAAAAATAGGAAACGTAAAATAAGTGTGTGGTCTCGAGGACTGCTTTACTTTGCTTCAATTGCTGCATTTGTGGTGCTTTGTCCTGTTTTAACATTGCGACCTTGTGCTTTACACTGTATGATTAGCTGGGGCCTGTCACCTCCGTGCCCCCCTGAGTGGCTGGTAGCCGCTCTCAGGTAGTCTCTCATTTTGATGCTTCTGTGAGCTTATTTAATATATGTGCTTGTTGTACTTTTTATTTTTTTTCTATTTTTTCTAATTGTGGTTTTTCTTCTTTCCCTAGGAGCTGGGGGTGTCTAGTACAGGCAGTCGGGCCACTGTGTGGCGCGAGTCTTTTTCTATTAATTAGTCTTTTGCCCACTTGTGTGCATTGAAGTTCACTGTGTGGTGTTTTAAATCAAAGTGTGCACGTGTGAATCTGTGGGTCATTTTTGGGCCCAGTGCCTAGCCTGCCCGACTGTGGTGAGCCCCAGCTCCTCTGGTTGGATGAGGATTTATCTTTTTTTTGTAATTGCCTCCACTAGTGCCTTTTTAAAAAGAGTGCATGTGCCTGTCTTTTAATATTTGTGGTTAAAAGATCATTGAATTGTAATAAAAGAAACCTTATTCTTCTATATCCACGTCTCATTGTCTTTGTCAGAAGTATGAACCTGTATTTTATGTCCTAGCTAATGTACTGTGTTGCGTAGTAGAGCTCTAATTGCAATAGTTTGTGTTAATTTGGCTTTAGTGTGCCAGTTATTGTATTGGTCTTGCGACCAACAAAAAGCCTTATCCCCCTGCGCGCCACATATTTTAAATGTCTGGGTAAAAAACAAAACAAACCAAAAAAATTCCCTTTGAACTCAAATTTTTATTTGAGAAACTTTTAAAGTATTTTGGAGCTGTAAACATGTCAGGCAAGATTATGCTGATTAATCATTGACTTCTGCTGTCTTCAGAAAACACAGATTTCTTTACAATTTAAAATGGCATCTATGGATATATTTTCTGCTGGAGATACTGTTGTCCTGAAAAACTTAAAACATAAAAACCTTACACTCAGATGTTTGCATATCATCAGCATGCTGTAATCCATTTCTAACAGCAAAACTAATTTTTAGACTAGTTTGTTGGCCAGTTGTAGTCAGTGCAATGCTAAACGTTATTGTTCCACTATAATTTGTTTTTGTCTCACATCGTCCCACAGCAACATCATATAGTTTTGAATACTGTACAATGTTTTATAATAATTAATTATTTTAGTGTCCATTTCATTTAGCATATTTTAAATTAGGGGCAACGACATTTTCTGACATACTTTAAACCAGGGTTTCTACAGGTTTCACCAAGTTAAATTTAAGACTATTAAAGACATTTTTAAGACTATTATGAATGAAAATTTAAACTGATGAAGGGCTAAAGCAGTGGTCACCAAACTTGTTCCTGGAGGACCCGTGTTCTGCAGATATACCTTCAACCCTAATCAAACACACCTGAACAAGCTAATCAAGCTCTTACTTGGTATACTTAAAACATCCAGGCAGGTGTGTTGAGGCAAGTTAGAGCTAAACCCTGCAGGGACACCGGCCCTCCAGGACCAGGATTGGTGACCCCTGGGCTAAAGGCTAAGGAATTTTTTAAATGGCCAAGATGAAATTTTTTTTTATTTGTTCTATCAAAAATATATTTTATTTAATACATTTAATAATAAAATAATAAATGAATAATAAAAAATTACAATATTTTAGATATTTCTTAGCAAAAGATTTTAAATATTGTGTAAAAACAAGCAAGCTTTACTTGTATCCACACAATTTTTTTCCAACATAAACTTCGAAAAAATAATAAAAAAATATTTTCAACGTTTTAAAAACTATAATAAACTAAATTTATGCGCAACAATCTGTCCAGGTCGATGTCCTCAGCAGTAAATACATGGAGCACATTTAAACAAATGTTATTGTAAGGAAAATAATTAAACCATTATGATAAATAGAGTTAAAATGACCTTTTTGAACATAAGTTGAAAGTTATATTGAGATGAATTGTTGGTTATTGCATGGGTTTTGGCCAGAGTACGAAGCAAAACATGAACAAAGGAAAATGAAGACTTGTTTAAAAAAAGATTCAAGACATACAACACAATATTTCAGTAAATTTAAGACTTTTTTAAGCCTGAAATTTGGATTTTGGAATTTACAATTTTTTTAACTCGCGGAAATCCTTGTTTATACACAATAACCCTGGTAATTAGTTATAATAATAATGATGTAATTCTAACTTGGATACTATCTGTGAGAACTAACAACTACTAGTAACAATGGAAAGTACTAAGCCAACACTATCACTGTAATAGCAGATATCTTCTATGAGAATACTTTTTAATTTAATGTTTTTATATATTTTATATAGCGCCAGTGCTTAAGAACTCTTTACACACAGTGGGGGTACAAGAAAAGCAATAACTAACGAATTAAGAAGGTAGGAGACTAATAATACATAAAATAATGACAAAAGACCTGGGGACAAGTAACAAGAAAGAAACTCATTCCTGTCTTTCAATGAGTGCTTATGTGCGTTTAGGAGAACTAGGCAGCACACTCAGGGCTGCAAGATGGACTTAATTTAGTATTCTTATTATTAAAATATATCTGAATGAGGATCAGATGACTTTTCAAGATCAAATGTCTTTGAGAATAAAAATCAACCTGTTTGTTCCTGTGGATCTTCCTGTTTGACTGGGAATGTTTCTTCAATCTTCAAATCTTCACTCTCCTCTTTAATAAACGCCATCTTTATAACAGTGTGGAGATCAGTCGCTTCAGCAGGAGTTTTTCTCTGTGTTTGGACACTTTATCCTGTTTAAAATGAACAAAACATTTAAAATGTCCTGATTAAATAAATAAAACAATGAACAGAAACAAAATAACTTCTCTTCAACACTTGCTTCAACAGTTTCTTTATATAAAAGTAATTAACAAAAATAAATCAGGTAAAAGGTTTCATTAATACTTATTACACACTTTTCTGTTAACCCACTTTATTTAAACAATTGCCTGTAAATACTGAGAATAAAATAGTACTACGTTGTATAAAGGGTTAAAATATATGTCCAACAGCAGGAACATAATTTAACATTGTATAAAAAACTAAAACTTTAGAACTTTAACTTTAAATAGGCTTATATCTGTGTAAACGTTTTAAAACAAACCTTACTCCAGTTGAATCACAGCGCTGAAGCGGCGCCGCCTGATGACGTCACTCGCCGCGTCAAAATAAAAGTATTTTTTGGTTAGCTTTTTTCCATTTACTGTTGCAGTCATGACAAACCTTTAATGTAAATATTTGAAGACAAAGGTTTAATTTATTAAATAGGATAATGTCACTTCATTCTAAGTATGTATAAGAAATGGAGTACTAGTTTTAATCAGCTCATTTGTGGCTATTGTTTCTTGCTCTGACTTACCAGATTTATTTTTGTTAATTACTCTCATATAAAGAGAAGTTATTTTGTTTCTGTTCATTGTTTTATTTATTTTAAACAGGACATTTTTATTGTTTTGTTAATTTTTAATAGGGTAAAGTGTCCAAACGCAGAGAAAACCTGTATATAATAAGTCATGACTAAGAGTAAGTGGCAAAAAAAAGGTTAAAAAAAGACTTTTATTTGGGCGTGGCTTGTGACGCCATAAGCCTGCGCCGCTCTCGCGCTGTGATTCAACTGGAGAAAGGTTTGTTTTAAAGCGTTTAGCATATATAAAGCGATTGATTAAAGTTTCAGGTTTTTCATTTAGTGCTAAATTATATACCTGCTGTTGACAATATAATTTTAACCCTTTATTTAACGTAGTACTATTTAACTCACAGTAATGAGGTCTATTGTTTAAATAAAGATAAGATAAACCTTTTGTTCCCGAGAGGAAATTTGTCTTGGGCAAAAAAGTGCTATAAGCAGACAATAATATAAATAAAACAAACAAAACAATTAAGAACATACCTGAAGAAAGATTAAGTGAAGTAACAGTAAAGTGTGTAATAAGTGTTATAATGAAGGTTTAATTTATTAAATACCATAATGTCATTCCATTCTAAGTACATCACTATAAGAAATAGATAAGAGGTAAAGTTGGTTTTATATTCGCACATTCGTTCATTCAGAAGTTTATATTGTTTACCATGTTACTTTGAATATTTGATCAGATTTATTAGCATGCAAGTGTGACTTCTAAACAACATTAACACTGTTTATATGACTGTGAACAATGTTGTACTTTGATAGTCATTGGCTGCTAATATGATTTCACTATTTAGAGTTTGCAAAATATTACTTTTATGAAATTATATTATAAAGGGAAAAGTCAGAATGTGTGAATAAACCAACCTATCTCTATGAAATTGAGTACTAGTTTTAATCAGCTCATTTGTGGCTATTGTTTCTTGCTTGAGAAAAGTGTGTAATAAGTATTAATGAAATCTTTTACCTGATTTCTTATAGTTAATTACTCTCATATAAAGAAACTGTTGAAGCAAGTGTTGAAGAGAAGTTATTTTGTTTCTGTTCATTGTTTTCTTAATTTTAAACAGAACATTTTATTGTTTTGTTCATTTTAAACAGAATAAAGTGTCCAAACACAGACAAAAACTCCTGCTGAAGCGACTGATCTCCACACTGTTATAAAGATGGCGTTTATTAAAGAGGAGAGTGAAGATGTGAAGATTGAAGAAACATTCACAGTCAAACAGGAAGATCTGCAGGAAAAAACAGGTTGGTTTTCATTGTCAAAGACCAACTCAGTCATTTGATCCTCATTCAGATATATTTTAATAATAAGAATACTAAATTAAATCCATCTTGCAGCCCTGAGTGTGCTGCCTAGTTCTCCTAAATGCATATAAGCACTCATTGAAAGACAGGAATGAGTTTCTTTTGTTACTTGTTCTCATGTCTTTTGTCATTATTTTATGTATTATTAGTCTCCCATTTTCTCTACCTTCTTAAGGTTATTGCTTTTCTTGTTCCTCTACTGTTTATAAAGCGTCCTTGAGCACTGGCGCTATATAAGATAAATAAAAACAATAAATTAAAAAAGTTTAACTGAGCTGACGATATTTTACCTACAGTATTCTCATAAAGGATGTCTGCTATTACAGTGATAGTGTTAGCTTAGTACTTTCCATTTGCAAATGTCACAATAATCACAATTCCAACTTCTTTATGGGTTTAAACTTGTTTCTAGTAGTTGTTAGTTCTCACAGATAGTATCTAGAATTACATCATTATTATAATAACTAATTACAGGGCTAATAACTGGGTCTTTAAATGTCTTAAATTCCAAAATCAAATTTTTAGGCCTTAAAGAGCATATTGTAGGTTAGACACCCCAGTGAGACAATGTGTGTAAGAGTAAAGTAGGCACTAGATTTTCTTTAAAATATACGTTAAAGTTTATTATTAAGCCGTTTGGAGTCGTTTTTAGTCACGGAAATTTACTTCTGCATCTGAAAAATCGCCAGACCGGAAGTGAAGTCGGATGAGGGAGTTCGTGCAAGTAACACTATGAAGACAACGGATCGCGGTGCGCGTTTGGATGCCGAGATAAGATATTCTGAGAGGCTCACACAAACGACAGACCACAGCTATACAATTATAAGCCTGTGGACAGACCAGCAGACAGAACAGCAGAGAAGTGTAATTTAACTCTATTGTGAGAAGAAACGAGCAGGTTTATGGTGAGGCCAGTGTTGGCTTACAGCAGGGGTGTCCAAACTACGGCCCGCGGGCCATCTGCGGCCCGCAATCAGTTTTGTGGCGGCCCGCGAGGCTTTTTATAAATATCAATATAATCTGGCCCGCTATACAAAAAATGAACGCAATTCAATAAATAACCACCGGGTGTCGCTATTACACGCATTCAATTAAGCAGCAGTTCTTGTTATGATCTATCTATCTATCTATCTATAGATAGATAGTTAGGAAATTTTACAGTATGTCTGATAATATTTTTTTCTTCTGAAGAAAGACTTATTTGTTTTATTTCAGCTAGAATAAAAGCAGTTTTTAATTTTTATTAACTATTTTAATGTCAAAATTATTAGCCCCTTAAGTCTTCAGAACAAACCATTGTTGCCTAATTAACTTGCCTAATAACTTAAATTTGACTAGTTAACTTAACTAACCCAGTTAAGTCTTTAAAAGTCACTTTTAAGCTGTATAGAAGTGTCTTGAAAAATATCTTGTCAAATATTATTTACTGTCATCATGGCAAAGATAAAATAAATCAGTATCTTGAAATGAGTTACTAAAACTATTATGTTTAGAAATGTGTGGATCCTCGTGTGGTTTTAAACCTTTATGAGTTTCTTAATCCTGTTGAACACAAAAGAAGATAATAAAAAAAGAAAAAAAAAACCTACTGGCTTACTGTGTTCCACAATAAAGGAAATGTTTAAAACTACCATGATGGAGAGTAAATGGTAAGGTCATTTTCATTTGTGGGTGAAACATCCATTTCTTGCTAATCGCTTTGAGCCTTCATACTAAAGTTAACTTTTTTTTTTTTTTTTTAGATCTGATGGTGCTGAAAGAAGAGACTCATGGACAGAATGAAATAGATGAGAAACAGCAGTTTATGAAACCCCAAGAAATAACGACTGATGAAAAACCCACACTGACTAAAAAGACTTCATCACACGGAAGACCTCGGAAATCCAAATCTGGGTGTAATTTCAGCTGTAAACAGTGTAGAAAGAGTTTCAGCCAGAAGTCAAACCTTGATGTTCACATGAGAGTTCACACTAGGGAGCAACCATACACCTGCGAACAGTGTGGAAAGAGTTTTGGTCAAATACAAAGCTTTAAAGCCCACATGAGAATTCACACTGGAGAGGGAAAGTTCACATGCCAAGAGTGTGGAAAAAGCTTTTATCAAGCTGGAAACTTTGCAGCACACATGAGAATTCACACTGGGGAGAAGCCTTTCAGCTGTAAACAGTGTGGAAAGAGTTTCAGTCAAAAGTCAAACCTTGATGTTCACATGAGAGTTCACACTAGGGAGCAACCTTACACCTGCGAACAGTGTGGAAAGAGTTTTAGTCAAAAACAAAGCTTTAAAACCCACATGAGAATTCACACTGGAGAGAAGCCTTTCAGCTGTAAGCAGTGTGGAAAGAGTTTCTGTCAAAAGCCAAACCTTGATGTTCACATGAGAGTTCACACAAGGGAGAAACCTTACACCTGCGAACAGTGTGGAAAGAGTTTTGGTCACAAACAAGACCTTGACATCCACATGAGGATTCACACTGGAGAGAAACCTTACACATGCACAGAGTGTGGTAAAAGTTTCCCACATATAAGCTCACTTAAACACCACATGATAACTCACACCAGAGAGAAGCCGTTTACATGTGCTCAGTGTGGAAAGAGCTTCACAACCAAAACTAGCCTCAAGAACCACATGAATGGTCACACTGGAACCCTAGTGTTCACATGTGATCAGTGTGGAAAGAGTCTCAAACGGAAAGACACCATAAAGAAACATATGAAGATTCACTCAAGAGAGGATCGTTTTAGATGCAGTGAGTGTGGAAAGGGCTTTAAAAGTAAAAGAAGCCTCAACACTCACATGAAGCTTCACAATGCAGAGCAGAGTCCTCAACATTGAGGCCTTGTCCAAACAAACACGGGTATATTCAAAACGGCTGCTTTTTCACATAGTTTGGCTGTTCATTCAAGTGAAGTTTATTTATAAACTACTTTCGAGAGGATCACATGCTTATGATTGTCCACGGCTGGTCCAGCATTAGCTAAAACATGATTCACCAATCAGATGATTCCTGACTCACTATAGATAACCAGAACACAAAGCTGCAGTCACAATAGAGTTTGAGATTGTGAAATTCTGTCGTACGGTGCTGTTAAAAGGGGCGGGATCAAACAAGATTTTTAGAAATTAAAAAAGTGAGAAATTGCTCCATGGTTTAAACTTCTGTCCAGAGAGGTCATGTTTTGATCCTCGATTGGTCTCACGCAGTCAAGTGATGCGATTTCGCAGGTCAGAGTTCACCAAGCATGAACTTTGCACCTCAGCAACCGGCGAAACTTGACGCATGACCCTGTTTCTAGTCTGACGCATTCGCGTGCGTATGAATGGAAGTCTATGGGAGGAAAAGCCCAGTGTGACCGTAGCTTAACTCAGTTATCCTTGTCTTGCAGAATCCCTCTCCCACCCTTACTCCCCCTCCTTTCTAGATTGGGCAACACGGCAGCCAATGATTAGCCAGTGGTTAGCACTGTTGCCTCACAGTAAGAATGTCGCAGGTTAAAGTCCCTGCTAACCAGTTGACTTTTTGTGCAGAGTTTGCTCATTCTCCCTGTGCTCGCGTGGATTTCCCCTGGTTTTCTCCCACAGTCCAAAAACACACAACCTAAGTAAACTGAACATTAAATTGGCACCATAGTCGAGCTCTTAGTAAGCCTTATATTTCCCTTTAGCCGACCCTATATCTGTCATTAGAATAGAAAGAAGTCTGGGGAGTTCATCGAGATCTACCTGAGCTTAAACTCCCCTCTCGTCCTGCTTACGGGATGGAGCCCAGGGCTCGAGGATCTTATGAGCTTAGGTCTCTCCCGGGATAGCATGCCAAACAAGTGTGAACTCTTGAATACATATCAAGTTACTGATAATGAAACCCTTTGAACACCTGAAAATTTAAACTCAACTGAAGAGGGGTAAAGACTTTGCCAGCTGTTTTGTCATGTAGATCAGGGGTCACAGCCCAGTACCAGGTTGTGAGAGTTGCTATCGGGCTGCAAGAAGACAAAATAACTCTGCATGTTGATAGATTGTATTGGCTTGTTTCATATGCGACAAGTATCTACTTCTGATAAGATGTGAACCAAATGACCAACAGGAACTCAAGAGATGTGACTCAACCAAAGCAGTTGGGTAATCTGCAGGGGGGTTTCATGCTTTAGTATAAATTAGTGTCTCACAGACAGTACTTTGGTTTAAGTTACTTGACGATGGACAAGTTAACATCACTGCTGATGAACTGCACAATTAATTGTCTTCAATAAAGTCTTCTCCTCGTAAGAACTTTGGTCAGCTTACTTATTTTATGTATTAGAGTTATCTATACATTTGCGAGCCACCCAAGAACGGTTAAGCCAAATACAGCAAAATCTGACAATGTGCTTCAACTTATTATGAACCGACAACCATATTTGTGCAGGGTTCCACTCAATTCTTTCATGTTGTCACAACACAAATTAAGTTAACTTAACATTTTTAATAAATTTATGTGGATTAAATATTAAGGCCCGATCCCAATTCTACTTTTGTACCCCTTCCCCTTGGCCCTTACAGCCGAGGGTTAAGTTGAAGGGCTTCAAATTCTACCCCTACGAATTGGGACAGCACTACAGTACCTGCACATGTCATCATATGTCCTCGAGATTTCTTGCTTCATATGAGATCAGACGATCGCGACTGCTGTACTTATTCCACTTGTTATTGTTGGGTATTTATCTTCAGGAAATCACTGAAGGTTTATGTTATCATAATGATCTAATGTGGCAATAAGATCGTAACGGTACTGTGCATTTAACACAGTGGCCAAACTTATCAATGTAAACACACAACAACAGCATTAACATTATAGCAGACACTGTAAAAAGCTCATTGACAGCCACTTGACTTTTCTGACAGGGTATTCCAGTTTCATCGAGTGTCAGAAATTTGTGGGACTGCTGTACAGGAGTTATGATTAGGGATTAGAGCAGCAAAATTAATCGAAAAAAGATTGCGATCTCGATTCGACCCCGTTGACGATCTTAATCCAGCTTTTCTCTGATTCTGTCAATCATATTTTCAAGTTAAGGAGAGAAGAAAAGGCGGCTGCACGAGTCTTTTCATTGTTTCACATAATGTTGCTCAGTGACATGGACACCTCCAAATGATGTTAAAAGTGTCACATACTGTATTTATAAGGTATAATTCACCTGAAAATGTCATTTTTGTCTTCATATAATGATGTTTTTGCAGCCGGAAAATCACACGTGATGTAAGCTGCTGACCGTGAGAGTGCGCTCAACTTAATAATAGACACGCACGCGCCTACTTTAGTGAACAGAACTTGCAAATGTTGTAAGTAACAGGTAATACAGTTGTAAATAATATTCAGTTCGTGGCACAGAGAGATCGTTTGGGAGCTGCGCGCGAAGTATGAAGCACTTAGTCAAAATAAAACCGCAAGTGTGCACTTCATTTAAATGATCATATCTCATTTTAGAGTTATGATTACGACAAGCATTTGATTTTTTTTTTCTTTCATAGCGAAGTTGTGCATGAAAATAAATGTTTACAGTGTCAGTATAACTACTCTGGCCTACATATTGTTGAATATAATCTGAAAATGACAAATGTCTGATTTTACTAGTGAATAAATAGTCTAATAATGTTGTCAATGACAGACTGCAAGCATAATCAAATCAAATAGAAATTTAAGTTCCTCCTAACAAATCAGAAATCAAAACAATAATTAAAGAAGGTGTTAATAGATTATGGCAAGAGAAATGGGATAAAGATGAGAAAGGCAGACATAGTTACAGTTTTCCAGCTTTATTCAATATATCTTCTTTATTGTTCAGCAGAAAAAAAGAGCTAAATATGTTTGGAACAAGTAAAGGATGAGGCTAAATGACAGAATTGTTAGTTTGGGTGATCTATTCCCATCTATCACCAAGTTAAAGTATATAAATTGATGTTAAAATGCCTAAATAATATTGATATCAATAAAAAGATCTGCTATCTACTATTTTTACATTGAGGTAATCTTGTATTGATAATTTCTGGATTTTAATTATGTGTAAGTTGCATAAACTCTATTATTTAGCCACTCACTGTTGTTTTCAAATTACTCATGTAACTTGTCTTTCAGAATGTTTATGGTTGTTAAAGTCACCTCAGCTCACAGTGTTGCTATATTCCTGATCTGTGGAAAGAAGAATTAGATGAGGTAAGGAGAATACTACTCTATTTACTATTATATTAAATGCAGTTATGTTATTCAGAACACAGTATGTCCATAGTGTGGAAAATAGATCATGCTTATGAAAAATTACTTTATTATTTTGTACAGCTGTTATTGAAATGACACTAAGTGTAATATTCCATTTTACAGCGAGTAATGCCACAACTACAGGACCTCTTCTTCTTTCTCTTCTCATAATTTAAGTAAGTATTCGGAGACTAACTCTGACTTCTGTTTACTCAAACCAGCTTTCCCTGTCTCTCTAAATTCATTTAATTGTATGTAATTTTAGTATATGATAGATTATTAAAGAATTAAAATAAAGTAGGCTACATAATTACTCACTGTAGATGTTATGCCTGAAGCTTCAATAAGTCATTCCCTGTGTAGTCCTGTTGTGTCAAGCTCTGATATATTATATATATATATATATATATATATATATATATATATATATATATATATATATATATATATATATATATATATATATATATATGTGTGTGTGTGTGTGTGTGTGTGTGTGTGTGTGTTTGTGTAATAAAATCTATACTTTGTTTTATACTGTTTGCTTATAATATTAGATGTGCACTGTATGTATTAAATGTTGTGAAATATATAATAAAAAGTTTGATCATATTCATTTGTGTGGCATTTTTATACTTCAAAGTTTACACATGCACTTGTTAAATTAAAAAGGAAAAATACATGAACAATGTTTAATATTAATAGAATTACTGCTGTATCCTGTATTCTAGGCAGTATTGATAAACTGCCACAAAAAACATTAAAACAAGTAGTAAGAATGCCGTCTCACAGTTGCTGAATGTCACACAAATTTTATTTTATGAAAATGAACAAATTATTTGTAACCTCAGCAAAACATCTTGTATGATGTCTTAATTAACCAATAAGGGCCAGTTAATAATGTTTGAAAGTTTGACTAAATATTTTAAATCTTGGATTTTTATTTTAAAAATTATGTGCAACGATTGCATATTTTATCTGAAAATTAATGTTTTGTCCAATATTTCATTATTACGAATGGTTTTTTTTTTTAAATAATCTATAAAGTTGGGTTTGTAAAGGGACACATGACCTTTCTGAAAATACACATTTATTAATCACACTGAAATGAAGATATACTTTAAATTTGTCCTTGACAGTGTTGACACAATTTGAGGTTTGTTTGCTGTTTTTCTGTTAGTAGATTAATTGTAAAAAGTGCAGGAGCTTGACCAACATTCATTTTTTACAGTCTAATGTCTAAATAATACAACAACTATGTGGTTAAATTAAAAAGTCTTAAACTTTATTTATTTGTTTTATTTTGATGTCTCAAAGGCACTTAGTGATAATGACCTCTTTAAGTTGTTTTAAAATGTTTAGATTAAATGTTTTGATCAACTTCAAATACTGAACATCTGTGTGATTGTGTGTGCGTGTGTGTGTAAGAGAGAGAGAGAGAGAGAGAGAGCAAGTAGAAAACTAGGGAGAGAAATGTTTGAACAAGTCATGACTGCAACAGTAAGTGGCAAAAAACTAAAAACAAAAGACTTTTATTTTGGCGTGGCGTGTGACGTCATTAGGCTGCGCCGCTCTTGCGCTTGATTCAGCTGGAGAAAGGTTTGTTTTTAAAACCTTTACATAAATATAAAGCGATTGAATAAAGTTTCAGGGTTTTCATCCGATGCTATATTATGAACCTGCTGTTGGCATTATTTTGACCCTTTTTACAACGAAGTACTATTTACTCACAGTAATTAGGGCTATTGTTTGAATAAAGCAACTGAAATGTGAGTAATAAGTGTTTTAATTAAGGTTTAATTTATTAAAAAGCATAATGTCATTCCATTCTAAGGACAAATCACTATATATAAGAAATGGAGTACTAGTTTTAATCAGCTCATTGTGTCTTGCTCAGACTTACCTAATTTATTTTTGGTAATGACTCTCATATGAAACTGTTAAAGCAAGTAATGAAGAGAAGTTATTTTGATTCTGTTCATTGTTTTATTTATTTTAATCAGGACGTTTTTAATGTTTTTATTTTTTTAAACAGGATAAAGTGTCCAAACGCAGAGAAAAACTGCTGAAGTGACTGATCTCCACACTGTTATAAAGATGGCGTTTATTAAAGAGGAGAGTGAAGATGTGAAGATTGAAGAAACATTCACAGTCAAACAGGAAGATCTGCAGGAACAAACAGGTTGGTTTTCATTCTTAAAGACCAACTTAGTCATTTGATCCTCATTCAGATATATTTTAATAAGAAGAATACTAAATTAAATCCATCTTGCAGCCCTGAGTGTGCTGCCTAGTTCTCCTAAATGCACATAAGCACTCATTGAAAGACAGAATGAGTTTCATCACTTGTTCTTATTTATGTCATACTTGTTATGTATTATTCGTCTCCTATTTTCACCACCTTCTTAAGGTTATTGCTTTTCTTGTTCTCTTTGTTTGTTAAGTGTCCTTGAGCACTGCCCAGACAGCACACATACGTTGGGCCGACGTCGGCCGAAGGTCAACACGTCGGCCCCTTTAATTCTAACATCGGTATATGGTCGGCCAAACATACGCATGATCGTTCGGTCGTGTGTTCTATTGTTCCAGCTCAACAAACGTCGGCTCTGCGTCGGTTAACGACCAGAGGCCGACGAAGCACTTCATAAGCACTTGATCTCTCATGCCCATGAAAGAATCCGGCAACATATTTGGTTTACAAGTAAGTTTTTGCGTGCATAATAAATTAGACAAACGCGACATGCATCATGTGAACTGCGTCGGTCGGTCCAGCTTTAAATAGCCTACATTAATGCAGTAAAACTGACCAAAATGCCTACAATACATGATTTCAATTCATTAAAATATAAAAAGTTTTATTGTTATGCTTTAATAATGAAAACGTTGTTTTTTTCTGGTGTTAACTGCTGTTTGCTTTTTTTATTGTGTTTTTTTCTAATACATTTTTCCCAGTGTAAAAATCAAGTATGTTCTGCATTTCGGCTGTTTAATTAAAATAAACACCTTTTTACAGAGTGACATCTTTGTTTTATATATACTTGCATTTATATTTATTGGTTATTTATTTTTGACAGTGAATGCACAAATAAAGTGTTTGTTTTGTAACAGTTTAGTAGGCTATAAAGCTCGTCTTAAAGATAATAGCGTATATAAAACTGCTAAATACATTTTAAATTCAAGATATAAAATACAAGGTTATTATTTAAATTGTCTATGGAGTGATCATGTTTATAAATGTAATACTGCAAGACTTTAATGTGCGCGCGCGCGTCTTGCTTCCAACACTGGAGCGGAGAGGATGTTGCTATGGGAAACGAAGCTACAACACGACACGACACCACCTAAAAGACACAACACGACTTCTCTCAAGCTGCCGTTTTGACTGTTTTCAGGTAAGTTTAGTCCCTAAAACAAAGCAATTACTAAATAAAACTGTTCCTCACACATTTATTATTGGCAATTGATGAATATTCAGTTGAATATTATGTTATATAAGAGTGGTAAGTCTTCGTAAAAGTCCGTTAGCATATTAGCACTGGTAACGTTAGCGTCGGGGTAATATTACGTTAACTTACTTAATGTTAGCTCTTGTTAAACTTGTTTGTTAAAGTTTTGACTTTTATTTATTCTTTATGTGTAGATGAGAGGTTTTGTCAATGTTTTATTGAATGCACTCCATATGTAGTCTAAAATACGCATTGTAACGTTACTGTAAAGGACCGTGAATCAAAAGTTCAATCGTGTTTTGATATTTCATGGTATCTTAAACTAAATGTTAAGTAAAAAAGTGTTCTGTGGTTTCAGGAGTGAGAGAATAACCTCCTGCTACAGAAAATATAACTCAAGATTCCTAAATTTCTGAAGGGAGCTGATCACAGAGATGCAGGAAAGACAGGTAACTTTAAGCAGAGGATTAATTCATATGAATTTCCATTGCACATCATTATGCACATGTTACATGTCTATATATTATGCATCTGTTACTTGTCTTTATTGCAGTTGTTTTAAGAAAGTTTTGACATTGAAACATGTTAGTGGTATTAAATTTCACATCACATGATTCTTCAGAACTTAATAAATATATAGATTTGCTGCTAATGAAGTAATATTTGTGATTTTCATTTTGTTTAATTGTTTATGATTAATTGATTTATTAAATCTTAGAAAAAAGTTTACACTAAATTATTTGTCATCACATCTGTTTTTAGCATTGATAGCAATCCGAAATGTTTCTTGAGCAGCAAATCAGCACCATTTGATAATCACCATTATATTAGTTCAACCTCAAGCACTAAATCAACATCTTAAAAAAAGATTTCTGAAAGATCAAGTGACACTGAAGACTTGAGTAATGATGCTGAAAATTTAGCTTTACATCATAGCTATGAATTACATGTATATTTACACTGTTCACCCATCCCTTACACCTTAACTCATCCTCAAACAAGTCAATTTAAGCCCTAAATGAATACATTTTGATTTGTACAGGCATGATATGCAACTTGTATTCAGTCGTTTTGTTTTTTCTTTCTTTTGCTTTTGTTTTCCACATCAACTGAAAAGGAGGTCTAAGTTTAACCTAAGTGCTGTGTAGCTGATGAACATCTTTATATGTAAGTATATTTTTGACTGACTGCCAGACACTTGTCAAACAGTGATGAGCAAACGAATGGCCGTTCTTTTAAAAAGATCAGGGAGATGCAAGTCTGGAGATTAATATACATTTTAATTCAAAATTGATTTATCTGGAAATATTCATAATGTTTTGAGATATGTGCCCTATATGCATTTAGATGTCCATGCATGTTTAAAATACTTTTTTAAATTTAACAATGGCTGCAAGTTATAAAAACATAAACAAACACAAAAATGTTAAAGTAAATTGAGAAAACATTTTCATCAGTTTGACAACAGGTAGATCAGCTCCTGACAGACATGTTAACAGATCAGTTTAACTCTTATTAAATTCATTCATTCATTCATTCATTCATTCATTTTCTTTTCTGCTTAGTCCCTTTATTAATCTGGGGTAACCACAGCGGAATGAACTGTCAACTTATCCAGCATATGTTTTACGCAGTGGATGCCCTTCCAGCTGCAAGCCATCACTGGGAAACAACCATATACGCTTGTTCTCACTCATACACTACAGACAATTTAGCCTACCCAATTCACCTGTTCCCCATGTCTTTGGACTTGTAGGCAAAACCGGAGAACCCAGAGAAAACCCACCAAACGCAGAGAGAATTTGCAAACTCCACACAGAAATGCCTGCTGATCCAGCTGCGGCTCGAGTCAGCATCCTTGCTGTAAGGCGACAGCACTACCTATTGTGCCACCACGTCACGCTCTTATTAAATTATATTTATATAATTTTGTGTTTCAGTACATGCTATTTTGGGAAGACAAAATATATTCATAAGCTCTCAGAAAATTCAATAAGAGAATTCATTCATTCATTTTAAGAGAATTAACTGCACAATTACTTGAAATGTGTGGGATTACATTATTTGTTAACCCAAAGTGAGTTTCTCTTTCTTTGCAGTATTGGATGCCTGATTGCAGTTCAACTCCAAACTCAATTGGACCAGCTGATCAGTGTCTTCAGTATTACCACAAGCTACTGGGCAGATGTGTGGACAGCTATGAGCCAAACTTGGGACGTTTGGTTTTTAGGTAATACCAGTGACAAAGTATTCAGTAAATTGCTTATAATAAAAGATGCTCACTGCTTACCCCCTTATAGTTAAGTTGTTTGCAGTTTCATTGTTGTAAAAATACCATACTTTTTCCTTTTTTTATCAGCAGGTGGAGAGACCGTCTGGGCAGCAGAAACAAGACAACTAATCATAGTTGAGTTGAGATTAGTATTATTAACTTGACTAGTTTGGTTGCAGACTTGTTCAATACTTAACAATTTGTATAAGTTACAAGATCAATGGTCCTGCTATCAATGTTTGTGTAACTTAAATTCATTACAGTTTAGATACAATCAAATGTCCAAACCATCTCTGAGTGAATGACATCAAGGAAACAGGATCAAAAAGATCATTCATTAATTTCATAGAATGTTTCATAGGTAACAGCACATCCTTTGTGAAAAATAATTTATTTTTGTGTCATCATTACAAGACAAAATACATTTCAACTGATTTCAGTTGGTTATATTTTTCAGGTCCTCCTGATCATTCTGTTCTCCTGGTTGTGAGGATGTGCAGAGGCTGTATTTGTCAGTGTTAAAAGACTTGTGCAGCTGTATCCAGACATACAAGCAGCCGACAAAGAGTTCTGGAGCAGGACAGACAGGTAGTTCACAGTGGCTAGGCTAGAAGTTTATACTTGGGTGGCCAGAAAGTGGCCTCCGCTATTTTGGGGGGTCCATACAAATACACCAGTGTAAGCTATACTATTGCACAGAAAAAATTAAATGAAAGAATTAATTAATCGGTTGAACACAAAATATTTTAAAGAAAGCTTAAGTATCAAGGTGGCAATATACAGTATGTTACATTGTAGTACATGAGCTGGCTAATACAGATTCGTAAATGTTTAGTTGTTAAGATTAGTTAAATACTATATCCTCTACTTGAGACCTGTTGCATATACAGCTTTAACTGAACTGAATTTAACTAGAACTACACCAGCATTCCAAGTGCTCTAGACTAGCTTTTTGCACTGGTGCGTCTAAAATGTTTGATGGCATTGCATTTAACACTGCAATTTTACATGTTAATTTTTTTTTAAAATTACAATCCATATAGGCAATATTGACTTGTAAATGATTAACTAAAATCGGGTCAACACACATTATGGGGATTGTGTGTAGAATTTTGAGGAAATTAATGAATTTAATCCATTTTGAAATAAGACTGAAACATTAAAAATGTGGAAAAAGTAAAGCGCTATCAATACTTTCCGGATGCATTGTATATGGTTTTTAGCGCGTTATCAAAGACTTAAAAAAATAGTCCAACATTATTTACAGCAGCAAAAGACCCTCCACATCAAAAGCTACTGGTCAGCTCACGATTCAGCAAACATCTGAAAAACAAATAGCTCATTATGCCTTCACAAGAAATCAGTGTTTTTGAGTCTAATGAAGATAGTACTATTTTATTAAATTATTATTTAGCCTGGCATGTTTACTGTTACAAAATATTTTAAATGTTTCTTAAAACAAAACATATTGTGTTCAATGGGGGAAAAGTAGCTGTTTTTTACACAGAGATAAAAAAAAACACATTTCAGAGCAGTAATCACAATACTGTGAAACTGTGATATTTTTATCCAAGATTATACCCTCAGAATTTTTTTATTTATTTTTTTTTTCAGTTGGCCTATATTCTGTTTTTCTATGTTCTTGGAAATGCTGCTGTGCATGAAAATGTGACGATATATCCGGTTCTATAGTTAATTCTGAAATAAATCTTAAAATGAAACAATATTTAAAAATGCAATATTTAATGTGTCAGACACTAAATAAACATGTCAATTCATTTATATTAATCTGATTCCTTAACAGGGCAGCACGGTGGCGCAGAGGGTAGCACGTTTGCCTCACAGCAAGAAGGTTGCTGCTTCAAGCTTCGGCTGGGTCAGTTGGCGTTTCTGTGTGAAGTTTGCATGCTCTCCCCGTGTTGGCGTGGGTTTCCTCCGGGTGCTCCGGTTTTCCCAAGTCCAAAGACATAGGTGAATTGGGTATGCTAAAATTGACCATAGTGTATAAGTGTGTGTGAATGAGTGTGTATTGGTTACAGCTGGAAGGGCATCCACTGCGTAAAACATAGGCTGGCTAAGTTGGCCTTTCATTCCGCTGTGGTGACCCCAGTTTAATAAAGGGACTAAGCCCAAAAGAAAATGAATGAATGAATCCTTAACAGTTAATATTGGTATAATGAGCAGCAGTTGTCATTTATGTAAATTAACCATTTGAGCGTGCTTAGTTTAGGGTATGTTGTGCCATTAAATTGTCAAAAGGTTTTATTTTTTTCTACATTTTAAATCTGCTTTAGCTTTCTTCTTTCCTATAAACCTGGAAATATAAAATATATATTTTTGGTTTTTAACAAATTGCTTATTTTATTCTTAGATTGGTGTACGCTGATGGTCTGCTGAGAATTCTGCTGAGTTGAAGGGATCCTCCTGTCAGACAACCTCTCCAAAGTACAATAGGACTAGTAAGTAACATCTTAAACATACACTACTGTTTCATAGCTTTTAGGTTGGTATGGTAAATTCTCTTCTGATAGTGTCAGCTTTATTTAATTAATACAGTCAAGCAGTAATACTGTGAAATTAATACAATGTATATAATTAATAGTGTCACATGATCCTTCTGAAAAAATAGTATTCCAATGTACTGATTCTCTCCTCAAGCTGTTTTTTTATATATAAAACATTTTAAATAAACATATTTTTAGTATTCTTGATGTATGAAAAGTTTATTTTTAAAAGCATAGTATTTATTTGAAAAAAAAAAAGTTTGCTCTTTGATGATTGCTAGCAATCAGACATGTTTCTTTAGAACAAAAAGAATTTGTGGAAAAAAAGTATTCTCACTGAGCGTTGTTCAACTGTGGTCAACACGTCATTTAAGTTTTCAAATAAGCCTAAAAGACCTGATTAGCTGCATAAGGTGCATTTAATTAGAGAGTTGAATATATCATTTCTTTTTATATCCTCCTCTATAGCCTACATATAATAGAAGTTGTTTGCTGAAAAACCTTTTTGTAGCAGAAATAAAGCTATGATTAGGCTCACCCGGATTTTTCGCAGAATATGTTGCATAATAATATCGTCATTGTATTCATTTTTTGGATAAAATCTTTATTTACGTTACATGTATGAGCATGGGTCACGAGTTAACACGACTCCAAAGGCACAGGTAGACATGAGTCTAGAACTAAGAAAAAACATGGTTTGAGCAACTGATGAAGCATCGTTTAGTCACAGAGAGCTATTCTATCAGCGGGAGAGTTTGTAGAAACACGTTAACGCGAGTACATGTAACTAAACAGCATGTAAACATGTTAACATTGATGGAAACATGTTAACACGGGTCCACAACCACAGCAAGGCATGTTTTAACTGACAAAGATATTAAAACAGACTGCTTCGTTTGGAGTTCTGAGTAGCTCAGTTAGATAAGTTGATTGATACGTGTGTGAAACCTTTTCACTACACGGGTTCGAATCCTGTTAAAGACATGTAAATTCTAATTTTTTTTTATTTACTTTGGTTATATACTGTTCTGCTACACAGATATTAAAATCAATAATGCACACAATGACACTGACACCAACTAATAATAATCTTTATTTGGTATGGACATGTTTTGTTGCTGTGAAAAAGTGACGAATCTGCCAATCTGCAAACGGGAATAGCTTACATCTGGAAAGGGACACCAGTTAACACGGTCACCAGTTAAACCGTAACACCTGCATTCAGTTGAATTATGAAGGCTGATCAATGACTGGAGATCTGTGATTGTTCATCAGTTTCTTCTAGAGTTTCTGCTGGAGATCAAACTCTTCAGATCCATCATGGGTAACACACACGCTGCTGGAGATCAGGATTTGTCTACAGAATGCAGGTATTAGACCTACACTTGACATTTCATATGATTATTTTCTACAGGATATTATATTTACTCTCTGTTAGTTGTGTTTTTAATCTGTCTGAATATTAACACATACAGGCAGCAAGATTGTGTACAATCATCATGAAAAGTATCATGAAGTGCTGTTTAAACAGTGTTTTAATGATGAAATGTTGAGTAAATCTGCTGTGTTGACTCCAGTGTGTGCAGCGCTGAACTTTAATCTTCTCTGTTTTAGTTCAGTTCATCAGAAGAGAGCAGAAGCAGAGCCCAGCTGTGTTTCTATGAAGAGTGACGCGTCTATGGGTGTACCAATAACATTTAAGAGTGAAAACACAGGACCTGCTGTCAGGTAGATCATCTCTTTAATATCTGCAACTGATGAGTATTTTCATAATAAATGAATCAGGTAATTAGTGTTGTGGATCTGTTGGGTTTCAGATGTTAGATGTTGTATCTGAGCTCTGCAGGATAGTGCTTGAAGATCTCCGCTTTACACTTCAGGCCACAATTGATGGTGTTAACAAACCAATCAGCGCTTTATTAATAGTTAGTGAGGTAGAAGGTGGGTTTAGGTTTTGGGTCCACAATAAGATCATACTGTATGACTACTAATGAGCAGTTCATATGTTCACATTACACAGATAATAAGCCGGTAGTTAATAGTATGAATTGTGAGCTAAACTTAAGTGTTCCCGATCTCCTGCCATAAAGGGCTTTTCCTGCACACTTTCCCCTGCTGTTTTTGTGCTGTACTGATCAGCCATTCCTCTGATCTGAGTCTGTTTTCACTGAAGCGTAGTCATCATCATGTTGTGTTGGCCTCATAGATGCTGCTGATCAACACATTTGGTTTCTAGAATTGATATTTCTCGAGTTCTCCTGCTCATTCAGTCATGATAGATGATGGTAAATGAACTTGTCTTGCTGTCCTCAAAGTCTGGACTGGAGCTCTGCAGACAAACCCCCAATGAGTGACCTTCTGAAGACTGAGTGATG